AAAATTTAAAAAAAAAATAAAAAAATAAAAACAGAAGATTTTGCTACAGTAACAAAGTAGCAAACTACTATCCACACTGCCTGACAAGTTATTAATTCTATGATTTAGATGCTGTGCAACATGTACCCCTCAGGGACACTAAAAGCTCTAATGAAGATCAGTTTTATTCTGCACAAGGGTTACATCAGCACAGCTGGATGGGATCACATGAGGATACTAGTCATTCCCCTGAGGATTACAGTTATTCCTGTGAAGACACAGATGCACAAAGAGGAAAGTATTGTAGGAAAAAATTCTGCCTGCACCCCACTTACCTTTCGTTTAGTCTCTTCAAACAAGCTCATCAGACTCTCCTTGGCAGTCAGAATAGGGTTGCTGGCAGCTAAACTGCGCATATAGTAATATACAGCATCAAGCTTCCTCCTCTGCAAAGAGTCCAGAGATATTAAGTCAACCAATTTATTTCCAGACACCAGCATGACACAGCTGGCCCAGGAAACCCCACTCTCTCTCTCAGGCTGTCTCCTAAACTGTAAGGAATTCCAGTAAGAAAATCAGAATGCTCTCTATAGAAGACACTATGGCAATTATATGAAGCTCAAACCTACAATTCTCCTGCCTTAGTTTCCCAGACTCCTAAGACTACAAGGGTGTACCATCACACTTAGCACAAAATATACATTCAAAAATGAAGTTGGGAGCTAGGGGTGGTGACACACACCTATAATTCCAGCACTCAGAAGGCTGAGGCAGGAGGATTGTTGCAAATTCAAGATCAACCTAAGGTACAGCAATTAACCACTAGGAAGAATGTATCAATGTGTTAATTACTGAAACTATCCTACCAATTTGATTTGAAACTGTCTCACTGCTATTTGTTTCTCAATAAAATTATGGAAAAAAATTTAAAAAAAATAAAAGCATTAAACAGAATAAATAAATAAATAAATAAATAAAAGATCAACCTAGGCTACAAAGTGAGTTGAAGGCCAGCCTGAACTGCATAGCAAAACTTTATCTCAAAAAGACCAAAAGTAAATAAATAAATAAAAATGAAGTTGGTATGAACCAAAATACACCATTCTTCCTTAAATAAAAAAGGGGTGAGGAAGACAGTTTAATGGTTTAAGAGCCTGCCTGGGAAGTGGAAGGTCCTAAATTCAATCCCTCATACATACATAAATTAATTAAAATAAAATAAAATGAAGCCAGGTGTGATAGTGTGTGTCCGTAATTCCAGCACTCAGGCAGCTGAGTCAGGAGGTTCAATGAAATTAAGGCCATCCTGGCCTATACAGCAAGACTATCTCATAAAAAGAGTGTGGTGTGTGGTAAGGAGATAAGGACTGGGAATACAGGTTAGGGGCAGAGTGCTCAATTCCCAACATTGTTTTAAAAAAATGTCAAAAGCTAGGCATGGTGGGAGGCTGAGGCTGGAGGACTGATTTGAGTTCAAGACCAGCATGAACTATACAGTGAGATCCTGTCTCAAAAGAGGGGTGGTGGTAAAAGGGTACAACGGTAAATATTTTGTTACTTTTTTTAAGCAGGCCATGACAGTGTACACCTATAATCATACCATTTAGGAGGCTGAGGCAGGATGATCACAATTCAAACTCTGCCTGTAGTGGGTTAAGGAGACAGCTCAGCAGCATAAGCCCTGCCTGGCAAGACCAAGGTAGATAGAGAATCAGGTAGATATAGGTAGATACAGTCAGTTAACCAAGTTCGATCTCCAGTATCTCCAAAAACAAACAAACTAAAAAAATCAAACTCAGCCTGTACAACTCAGTGACACCATATCTCAAAATAAGGGAGATAAAAGGCTAAAAATGTAGCTCGGTGAGAAGCTGAATCCCAGTAGTATCAAATACACACACACACACACACACACACACACACACACAATGGCCTTCCTATGTAGTTTACTGTTTTGTTTTTTTTTATTATTATTGGATATAGGGTCTCACTATGCAGTTCAAACTCACAATGATCCTCCTGTCTCAGCCTCCCCAGCACTGGGATTACAGGTGTATATCACCACACACAGTTTTGTGGCCTGCACAGCATGTGGTACCAGGGATCAAACTCAGGTCCTTCAGCTTGCCAGGCAGGTGCTTAGACTGCTGAGCTATTTTCTCAGCCCTATACATGTTTTTTTTTAAAATACGGTCTCACTACATAGTTGGGGCTAGCCTTGAACTCACAGTAGTCCTCCTGCTTCAGCCTCCTGAGTGTTAGGATTATGGGCTTGTCACCAGGCCTGGCTTAAAAATTTAATTGTTTCAAAAGGGCAACATATTCAAACAAATTTTTCTTATGGGAAATAAGTACGTGACAAGATATGCATCATTAGTCAATAGGGAAATGCAAAATGAAACCACAACAATATAATTTCATACTCACTAGATTTGTAGATATGTAAAGTTTATATAGAAGGCAAAAGATCCAGAATACTTAAGAACAAGAGTGAAGAATGGGGCCAGGGAGATGGCTCAGTAGAATAAGCACTTTCCTGGCAAGTATGAGAGCCTGAGTTCAATCCCTAGTTCTGCCAAAAAAAAAAGAGTGAAGAATGACAGTACCTAACTTCAAGACACTCTAAAGCTACAGTAATCAATATAGGGTAGTGCTGTCACAGCATATAAAATAGATCAATAGAATAGAATGCAGAACCCAGAAATACTAGTCAGAAAGTTTAATCAACTGATCTTTCACAGTGGAGCATGGCAATTTGATGAAGGATAGCCTTTTTTATTTATTTATTTATTTATTTATTTATTTATTTATTT